GAGTCTCTATGTTTTGGCTCCCTCCCTCTCTAACCTCTTTTTTTCTTCCCCTCCCGCATGGTCTTCTGTTAAGTTTCTCAAATTATCCTTTTGTATCAACATGAGAATAAAGTGGAAATCTTCCTGTTCTACTGATGGCACTATTTATTCATGATTAGTTACATATAATATTGAATATCACTGCAAGACATTAAAAGTATCCATTTATTTTTGCTAAATGGAAAGCTAAGAAAAATAAATTAATTTGCTCATAGAATGAAAATCAAACTCATTTCAGCCTCTTGAGCAAACAATGTGCTTGTAATTTTCCACACAACCCCAAAAGAAGACTGACTGAGTTTTCTATGTAGGTTCTTCTCTGTCACTGCTCTCTCAAAGACCTACAACTTACTGTGAGAAATGAAGTTAATTTACAAAGGGGAATTTCAGTCTTTTATTCAGCAACCCAAATAAGCTATAGATTGATGGTGCTTTTTAGTAAACCAAAAATTACATTAAGTACTGGACTAGAATTCTCCCTAATTTAGCTGAGGTGGGAAAGCAGAGAGAATCTCCCACATCTGTCATTTGTAGTGATAGCTATAGAGATCTTGATAAAATGGTGACCATCTCCTTCTCAGCATGCTGTTAAGGGCCCCTTGAGGTTCTAATTCCTTGAGACCCCCAAGGTATCAGTACAGAGGTCAAGGAGAAATTCAACACAGGAAATAGTGGGAAAGGTAAGAGCAAAGTGATATTGGCAAACCACTGCTTAGGGTTAGGATGGGGTGGTGCTTATTGCATTCACCTCCAGCAATGACTTCCTTATAGTATTTCAAACTCCCACAAAACTGCCTAACCCAGATCCCAGAGCTACAGAATTCACTTTTCATTGCTGGAACTTGCTACGAGAAAAAAAAAAAAAAACTGATGTCCAAGAAGATAAACACAAGGCATTTACCTCCTCTGTGATCTGGGTCAGACTGTCCTAGAATGCTACCTATAAATCCACCAAAGAAAATCAGGGGTCCTAATATCGAGTGCTTTCAAGGTGCAAAGCACTTGAATATGTATTACCTTATTTAGTACCCACCCCCCCACACACATATACACGGCTCTGAAAGTCAGTTATTATTAGCCCCCTTTTACAGATGACAAAACAGACTCTGGTTTAGTAACCATCACAAGAGCACAGAGATGGTAAGTAGTACAACCAAGAATTGAACCTCCATCTGCCCAGGTATATAGTTCATGCTTTTCCCACCATTGTTTGTTGCGTACATCGCTGGGCAACTATATCAATTCATATTTGAGAGGAAGCTTAGTATACTAGCTGTCACCAGCATGATCCATTATAAATACCAGACACAAATTTAGATTAAGTAGTTTCTGCTTACCTTTTAGTCAAAGGGAATAATTAAAATAGGAATAGCATTTTCAAAGTTTTTGTATTTTGAGGCCTGAATGTAATAATCTCCACTGCTAAAGAATTTCTTTTCATGATAGCCAGAGTTACAGAACAGCAGGAGGAGGAGGGCTCAAAGCATCATGAATATATGTCAAATTAAACTCTCCCAGTGTGTCATTCAAAAGAGTCCCAGTGATAGCCCTCCAAGGTTTAGGGCAAGGCTATTTCTTAGCTCAGATCCCAGCTCTACTACTTTCTATTCAGCATATAGTAAGTACTCAATAAATATTAGCTATACTTATTCATAAACACCACAAGGAAAATATATATAAATATTGTATAATTTTTATATATAAGAATATATATAATTCCTGGGTGGAGAGAGGTTCCTATAAAAGTATGTGCAGCATATAGTAAGTACTCAATAAATATTAACTATACTTATTCATAAGCACCACAAGGAAAATATATATAAATATTACAGTAAAAGATTCCTGGGTGGAAAGAGGTTCCTGTAAAAGTATGTGCCATAGTTTTTTCACCTAAATCTGATTATCAGTTAAGCCTAATGATGGTTCTTTTGATTTAGATTTTTTAAGAATAAAAATGGGTAATACTTACAGGTTTTTCCTCGTAAATCTTATAAGGAATTAACCCAGAGTTAAGAGTGGTTGCGTTATTAGTGGAACGGGTTCTGATTATTGGTCTTTGTGCTGTATTTTACTTACTCAACTAATTTATGTCTCAAAATTTTTTCCTTTCCCTCTTGCCTGAGCTCTGCCAAGTCTAGCGGCTTACATTTTCTACCCTTTTAAGTAGTTCTAGAAGTTTGGAACTTGCAGCCCACATCAGCAAATTTGCCCTTTTGCATTTGGCAAGAATCAAGGTTTGCCATGTGTTTCCAAGTAGAGGTGGGAGTATCGTGTTATAGAGAGTCATGTCAGCATGACTCTGGAAACAGTGATTGTTAGATAACCAGTGAATTGGAGCCAGAAAAAAGAATTGAGAACATTATTTTTGGAGCTGTTTATATCTGTAGAGATCTACAGTTGTATATATATTGCTTTTCTTTGAGTGTTCATCTTTAGGGTAAAATGATACACCTTTAAGAGGCATCATGTGTTATTATTCACTAATTCAAGCATCAGAATAACTTGGCCTGGAATCTAAAGCACCCTAAACCTGATTTGACTTCTGCAGTGTCTTTTTCTTAACTCCTTAAAATTATAGCTATGTATAATTGCATGCTTTATTGGAATTAAGTGATTGCACTCTTCCTTCTTCTTGAACACCCAGCTGAAAATAAAAGTTTGTGGGCCTGGAGTAGTGGGTGCTGTGGAGCAGGGTATAGGAGTGGAATTTAAATGTCTTTGTGTTAGCTGGTAGTGTGTGTTCTTGAAAATATGGCTAGAAATATTTAATAGAATGAAAATATGGCTAGAAATATTTAATAGAATGAAAATATGGCTAGAAATATTTAATAGAATGTTGTATCTGTGTGTGTGAATTTACAGATTACTGGAGTGAGAGTGACAAGGAAGAAGCAGATACTCCATCAACACCCAAACAGGACAGCCCTCCGCCCCCTTACGACACATACCCACGACCTCCCTCTGTAAGTTGCCAACAGGAATGGACATTATTTAGCATCAGATTCTTTGACCCAAAATATCCCCATGTAGTGAATTGCACGTCAGACCTCAGGTTCCCTAAGAGGAAAGAACATAAGGAGTCTAAAAACAATAAGGGGAAAAAATTTAGTATGTAAAGACTATTTAATCAGGAGAAACAGTCACCACAGATTCCAGGCATAATATCTGCCCAGTTTTATTTTAAAAAATCCTGTTTGTGTCAGAGTAGCCTTCCTGGAAATATCAGCAACAAAAATAAGTTTTCTTAGAAAAAGATATATAAATGGGCTTTATGTATCCCACACTAATAAAGTTCATTCCTATATCCTTCAGAAATGACTCATAAAAATTAATATTATATCTATATTAAACATATTTTGACAGATAGCTCTTCAGATAGTCATGGGGTCTGGTTTAATGTATGTGTTTATATGGTGCTCCAGACTTCTTAAACCTGTGTAAATGATTCTGTGTATAGCCTGTAGTTTATAATCTTTTAACGGGGTAAACAACTGTCCTAGTTTGCTTGAGACTATCCCACTTTATGCCCGTGGCCCATCAGAACTACTAAGAGCATCTCAGTAGTCTCCCAGTCTTGACAATACATTGCATGGTTACAGCGTCATAAGAGTTAATTCTGGCTATCTTGGGACTGAGTCTTCCACATAGGAAATGGAAGCTGAATTTAGGTGACAACAGCACTCAACCTAATTACACCTCCATATTACTCTAGAGGATTTTAAATAAGACGCTACACAAGAAGTTGATAAAATTCTAGGCCATTTCTCAACCTTGGCTGTGCATAAGAATCACTTCTGTAACATTTTAGAAATGCAGATGTTCAGACCCTATCCAGACATTAAATCAGAATATCTGAGACTACAAACAGCTCACTAGACTAGACTGTGGGCCTGCTGTATTCATCTACACATCCCCATGGCTTAGCACAGCACTGGAACTTATTTATTAAGTGCTTAATAAATATTTCTGAAATGAATAAATAAATATTTCTGAAATAAATGAATGGGTCCTTTTGACTAATAACTAAAAGGGAAGCCACATTTTTAATAACAGTGTTTGATGTCAATGTCTCTTAGCTAAGAATTGTTCCTAATATGTATGCACATTTCTTTAATAAATGCTGAGTGTAACAGAATGCAAGGATGAGCTATAGAAATGAAATCATGAAGTCAGTTACAAGATACAGTTTATATCATATTTTCCCTCTTTGCCTAAAACATCAGGGCCTGAATAATTCCTTTTAAATATTTATAAAAGAGGAAGAAAGGGAAACTGCAGCTTCAGGGAACAGCTCTTTAATCATAGCAACTTGTGAATTTCAAGAAGGAAGCTATTTACATTGTTATTAACATGTGGGAAGATAAACTGCCCCCAGAAGATGCCATTTAACTTCTCCTTTACCCAGAGGGGCAGCGTGTGCTTTTACCTCAGCCAGGCTTGTCCTGGCCACCACCTGAGCCCCATTTGCCTTGATCACATTTGACAAATTCAACTCCTCCTGCCAGAAAGGAGCCAGAGCTGATCTGTTAGCCCCGAGAGCTAGAGTAAGCCTTGTCCCCAGTAGGGGCACCTGCAAGTCTTTTACAGCAGTCACTTGATGCCAGTCCATTTTCTTGGTTGTACTTTGTACTGTAATATATACTCCCAAACTTTAAATTCCAAGAATAGAAATATTCCATTTTTCTTTTGTGTTTATGTACCCTGAGGTGCCCATGCCCAAGGCAGATGCTCATCCCCATCAGAGTATAATCTCACCTTGCCTGTATGTTTAACTCTACAAAGTGCCACAAATTGAAAAGACCACAAGAACACCTTTCATTGGGGCCCATAGGAGGATTCATTCACCTATGAAGAAGAGGAGGGGTTCTGTCCGATTATAGGCACCTTCTTTTCACATCCAAAAGCCTCTCTCCTTGCTCTCACCCCCAAACTCCACAAAATCCAAAAATATGAATTTGGCAGCAATTATTCAGGGTTTTAAATTCCTAGAGATTTTTTAAACTTCAGATTTTTCTTAGTTGCTGAATATTTCTTACATAAGCACTCAAATTTCCTTATGCTTCACTTTTGTGCAACTTTGCATGTTAATATGTCAGACTTTTCATGAGAGTCTGGTATAGGTGCATTTCAACACTCCACATCTCAGTCTCTTAAAATATCAGCTGGGCCTAACTTTGAGATGTCTGTAAACTTGACTAGTCATTAACTTGACTGGTAAATGTTAACTGTTAGAAATCTAATGTGTTCCTTGGTAACAGAAGTAGTCTGTTATTTTCTGTATAGACTGATCAGAGGCTCCTTTCCACAGATGAGTTGTGCCAGTCCTTACGTGGAAGCAAAACACAGCCGGCTCTCTTCCACAGAGACCTCTCAGTCACAGTCCTCCCATGAAGAGTTTCGCCAGGAAGTGACTGGGAGCAGTGCTGTGTCCCCCATTCGCAAGACAGCCAGTCAGCGCCGCTCCTGGCAGGATTTAATCGAGACGCCCCTGACAAGCTCAGGATTACACTATCTTCAGACTCTGCCCCTGGAGGATTCTGTCTTCTCTGACTCCGCGGCCATCTCCCCAGAGCACAGGCGGCAGTCCACCCTTCCAACTCAGAAGTGCCACCTACAGGATCACTATGGGCCGTACCCCTTGGCTGAGAGTGAGAGGATGCAAGTGTTAAATGGAAATGGGGGCAAACCTCGAAGTTTTACTCTGCCTCGAGATAGCGGGTTCAACCACTGCTGTCTGAACGCACCCGTTAGTGCCTGTGACCCGCAGGATGACGTGCAGCCCACAGAGGTGGAGGAAGAGGAGGAGGAGGAGGAGGAGGAGGAGGAGGAGGAGGAGGAGGAAGGGGAGGCAGCAGGGGAAAACATAGGAGACAAAAGTAAGTATGTTGGAGATCCTTAGCCTGTGTACACAGAGTCCTAACCTTTTCAAACTTCTTATTTTAAGAAAATAGAATTTTGTTTCCCTTTTTTCTTAAAATAATAGTCTTGCTGCACAGGACGTTAGGTATCCTTTGCTGTTTTACTTTCAGAAATTGAGTAACATGGGGGGGGAGAAAGGTGGATAATGAAGCCTATATCCCAGGACACCCAAAGCTAGAGCAAATGCTTTTCTCCAGTTACCCATTTTCCTTGTAAGGTTAATGATAGTCATTTCTTTTTCTCCTACCTCTTATCCACTTTCTTCTCCCTTGTATATATCGTCCCTTTGGTCCACAGTCATTGCCCCCTGAGTTTGGGTTAAGAAACTAAATGCTTCAAGCACGGTGTTAGCAGAACCTTGGTTGAATACGTAAGTGAACACAGAAACACACACATATGCACACATACATATACAACTTCCCTTTTCACTATTAAAAGATTTAAAGGAAAAATTCAAAAGAGTTTTCCAAGAAGAAATTTCAAATAGCATTTCTGTCAACTCCAAATGGCCAAAATTGTTTCTAGAAACCAGTTTGCCAAAAGCATTTATTTATTTTCTTGGTATATATGTTAATTACAAAACTCAATTTATGTGAATCAACTTTGAAGAGAGACAAAGTCAATTAAGTAATCCTCTGACTTTTTGGCATTAAGAATATGTTTACTAATTCTCAAGTTCTTTATCCAACATGCCTTACCAAGCATCTGTTTATAATTAATGTGATACACCAGTCCAGAAACCCAGGCTAGTTTAAGGGAAAGGCTAGAACTCACTTACCTTACTTAGAAAGAAAATCTAGGTTTGGCTGTAAGTCCTAAATGTAAAAATTCCCTCCCCCCCCCCAATAAAAAAGTACAGTATTAAAGAAGTAGTATAAAACTGTTTGCATGTCTTTATTCAAAATGAAGTTTGGGCCAGTTAGTGCAGCTGACCCAAGCTAGTGTTGATGAAACCACAGTTTCTGATTTGTTCCCACCAGGGCATTAGACTTCCCTTTTTAAAGGATATAAGCAGACTATAGCCATCCACCCATTTTGTAAGTATACGAGACTTTGATTATGGGATATATTACTGTAAGTTCTTCTTCACAATTGGAAAAACAGTTCAAAGCTCACAGAGGGCCAGCAGGTCAGTATCCTCATGCCCATGTTAAACTTGGCTCATTTAAAATGAGAGTCACTTTGGAGATTATTAGCAAGAAAATACAGTAGAATTCCTTTTATGGTCTTCATTGCCTTATTTAAGGAGAATTATATCTTATACCATGAAAATATGAGTTGCTGGTAATAAAAATCATATGTTAAAGCAGTTTCCATGTGAAGTGTATGTTGGCCATAATCTCCATAAGGAGCATTACAAAAGGTATACTGTTGGTGCAGGAAAAGGTAATTACCATCTACTACCTGCCAAGCCCTCCCGACATTCACATTTATCAGAGATTATGGAAGAGACTGGTGAAGAAATATCTAGGAGCCATGTGAGGTCTCTGTAGGACTTCTGGCAAGCATGATAATACATTTTTTAGTGTTATGATGATTACCAAAATCAGGATACTGTTTTCTAAAATTTAACTAAAGATGAGTTAGAAACTTCATTTTGACTGTCATCTATGTGCTGCACAACTGCTGTAACTAAGTATGTGAAGTTTGTTCAGTATTCTACAAACATATTGGGGAAAATACTTTAACTCTGCCATTTTAAGATAAATTGTGTTGAAATTTGCACAGCCCTCTGAAATAGAGAATTCTGTTCAGAAAACATATCATCATGGCCACAGGTAGAAGTCACCGATGATATCTTTTTCGCTTAAGCCAGTTACTTCCCAGTTCCCTCTGGCCATCGCAGGAGGGAGTCCTGGAAAGGAGAAGGCGCATCCTAGGGCCTGAAAGGAAAACCTGGGCCCACAGAGCATCTATAGTTAGATGGCTTTCGAGTTTGTTCTTCTAGTGTCTCTTTGCTGTTTTCTTGATTGAATTTATTTTTACCTTGTACATGCACTACTAAATTGGTGAGGTTTTCCTTCAGGTTCCCAAATGAGTCAAGTGGGCAATTTTTCAGTACTTTCCATCTCTTTCAGTGTCTCTTTTTTTGTGGAATAACTGTGATAAGGCAGAACAGTCTTAGCAAGTGTGTCTATAAATCTAATATTGCACATTTTGTCTTCACAGTTCAATATTTTGGGGCATTTCATGCTATTTCAGTCAGATCTGCTTCACTAAATGTGGCCATGCACTATATTTCAGGGCCCCATTTCCTTCTGGGCATTTTTCCCCAGATCTTTCGCTTGATGTGTCAATGTTCATCAAACCATTCTCAGCAGAGCATGTGTTTCATGGTTGTCTACTAGAAGATGCTTTCTATTTAATAGAATGTCTGTCTGCCTCCCTAATGATGGTTTTTCTGCATTACTGTTTTTAATATTTAGGAGTGTACGATTTGATAAACACTTCACTTGAGAGACACCAGCTTTAAAATCCATGTTTTCAAAAGAATCTTTAAGGTCTAGTTAAGGGGTGTCGTGTTCATGGCTGCCCTGGGTTGGCCATTAGGACCTAGTATTCCAGGCTTATTATTCAAATCAAGCTGCTGGGTATTATGTCAACAGAGCAAAAATTATATACACAAAAGAAGCTGTGGCCATCCCACCAGTCTCAGGCTTACGACATGCCTTCCAGTGCAGAGCATTCACTATGCTGCCCACAGGTTGGCAGGCACCTGTGCTTGTTAGAGTCAAGCAGGGATGTATTACTAACTGTCATGCTCGAGGCCAGCATTTGCTTTGACCTACTATAGTGAATTTGCACTTATCCAGCACAGACCTGCAGAGGACATAAGTTTTGTCTCTAGCTACACACGTTTTTTCTCAGCTTACCAAGAAATTAAAGCTAGAAAGTATCAGGCAAGTGGGCAGAAGGAGTAATGGAAGAAAATGTGAAAGTATAGCCTATCTTCTGCTTTGAGGATGAAGAATTATGTCATCACCCAAACCCCTGTCTTATCATTTATGTTTACCTTAACTTTATATAATGTGATCTATATTATACAGTGCTTACAAGTTTACAAAGCAATCTAAAAAGCAAAATGTACCTAAATCGGTGATCTAGATGTGTTTTTTTTTTTTCAATTTCTCTGCTTATGAGGTATAAATGTAGCCTTCTTTAGAGCAGTCTTCAATCTGTGTCTTCTCATGGTTGGACTACTTTTTCTCTTATTTTGAAATTCATGTATTTAACTGAATCATACTATGATTTTTCACAGGCAGAACTCATTTTGGTGTAAAATGGATGGTATTAAAAGTACACACATGAGACCTGTCTTGTTTTCCTTTGACTTAAAAGCCAGCTTACATATTAATTATCCTGACCTACTTCACTGGCATTTGGGAGAAGACAAGTAATTTCCTATTATCCCAATTAGCAGTTTCGAAGCTTACTGAGATGTGGGCCTTATAATACCTCAGTTATATTAAATTATAAATTATGTCAGCCTGTGCAACTTCCAAGGAGTATAAATCATTAAAGTGTGGGACAAAATATAAAGATATACTTCATTCTGAAATCAACTGCTGTAACACTAAAATACTGTTTTGGTTAATACAGCTTGAAGTCTACTTGGGATAGATCTCTTTTCTTTGCCATACTAGGCAGTTTAGATGAGGTTTTCAAAAGCTTTATCCTTTAATCCTGCTGATTTCCCTCTTGGCAGTTGTAAGAATACTCTTTACTAGCTATACATTCTTGGTGCCTCCATGTACTCAATGAAGTTATAATGTGCTCTTTTTCATTGTCTTAGAGATAATTTACCAGTATTCTCCCTTAATTTACACATGTATTAGCTTGGTCTTAGGAATGTATAGCAAAACCTACAGCTGTGGGGGATGGGGTTTGTGGGGGTGGAGGTGGAGGGTGGATAAAACCTTGTAGCTACATTGCCCATCAGGTTATCTGGCCAAGATACTTACTGATGCTCTCAAAATGAGATTTGCTGAGAAATGGTTTTTAAAGTTATTTTTTTAAATCTAACCTCCTTTGCATAGCATTGGTAAGTTAAGAGTTGTGCAAAGTATGCAGCTCAGTGGCCTAATATCTTAAATTATCTAGGCAGAGAGGATAGATAATGACTGCCAATATAGTGTAGAAGAATATAGATTAATCCTCTTCAATCATTTTAAGGGTCCTAGAGTAATTTCCTGAAGAGTTTCTAAAAGCTATGAATTTTATTTTTTTTTATTTATATATGAAATTTATTGTCAAATT